CACAACTGTGGTGAGCACTGCTTTGCAGCCTGCAGCTGCTGCCCAGCCTTATGCTCCATGGCCCAGACTCCAGTGCAACCCACCAACTTCACAGGGGCTGTCTTGGGCCTCCAATTACATCCTGGGGGCCTGGGCCAGCCCCTTGTGGTCCAGGTTGATCTGCCAACCTTGTAGTGCTTGGTCTGCAAGAGTCTGTAACAAAATAAAACTGGATGAGCAGGGTGTGAATTTTCTGCCAGGGAATGTGGCCCCTTCTCCTGTGCTACAAACATGAGAACTTATTTCCCAGCACACAGGCCTTCTGGCCAATCAGTCTGTTAATACATGATGGCAAGACAACTCTGGCACAACATGGCAGCCCAGAAGATGTCTTGTCATCCCCAGGACTGCTCCTTGGGCAGCACATTTCTTGCTGTGTGACAGCTGAGCCAGTCCATCCAAATGTCCCCTCCTCATGTACCTCAACCTTTGAAGGTGCGATCTGTGACAACAGTAGAATTTCCCAAACCACACCATGTCTGCCAAGCCTTGCCCTGAGATGGGTGGATGAAATTCATGGCTTCCCCTGCCCTGTGTGTCTCCCCAGAAGGCTGCCCCATGGCAAGGGCTGTGGAAGGAGGGCAGATAGCCCTTTCACTTCCAGTTACTAAAAACCACGGTGCCTCTTCTTCTGTCCCAGACTGTGGGTTGACCAGTACTCTGGCCTTCAGCAAGATCGTGGGTGGCAGCACTGCAGCTCGAGGAGAATGGCCCTGGCAAGTCAGTCTCTGGCTGCGGCGCAAGGAGCACAAGTGTGGAGCTGTCCTCATCGCCGCCCGGTGGCTGCTCTCTGCAGCTCACTGCTTTGATATGTAAGTCTGTGGTGGCTGGTGAAGCCTTGGCCTCACTCTCCTCAGCCCACCTGCCCTTCCCCTTCCCTGCAGTCCAGCCCCAGGGCTGGGATGCCGTGCCCCACTGCCTGTCACAGATGTGCCCCTGAAGGTAAGTGTGAAGAGGAATGAGTTGAGCAAAGCCTGGGTATGTCCAGTGTGATGGAGACAGGGGTCCTGGCCTCACAAGGTGTGGCCATAGTGCATCCCAGCCCCACAAGTAGAGGAATGTCCCTCCTTGTGAGGCCATACCCCTAACAGCCAGGTTTACTGTCTTTCTGCAGTTACAGTGACCCCAAAATGTGGGTGGCCTTTCTAGGAACACCCTTCCTGAGTGGCATCGATGGCAAAATGGAGAAAATATTCCGCATCTACAAGCACCCTTTTTACAATGTCTACAGCCTGGACTATGATGTGGCACTGCTGGAGCTGAGCACACCTGTCAAGTTCAGCAGCACCATCAAACCTATATGTCTCCCAGACAATTCACACATCTTCCGTGAAGGAGCCAGATGCTTCATCACAGGCTGGGGCTCCACAAAGGAAGGAGGTAATGGCCAAGAGGTCTTCCATGATGACCAAGCTAAGTGCCACCTACCCTGTGATCCCAAACATCTGTGATTCCCACTCTCTTGCCCTGAGCACTCCCCATGCAAGGCCAGACGCTGCAGCGGATGCCAACCTGGGCAAGGTCTGATGTCACCATAATCTCCTGCCCAGTTGCCATGCACTGTACTCCTCCATTTGGTTACACCTCTGTCCTCTTGCAGCCTTCCCAAGCTTTCCACATGCCAGCCACAGTGCTGCCCAGCCCTGCAGCAGCTGCTCCAGCTGTGCTGCTGCAGCACAAGGACCACCCTGATACCATTTCTGTCTGGTCAGCCGAACTGCCTGACAATCTATGCACCAAAGAGACCTTCCTCTCTGCCAGGGAGAAACCAGATTGACTTTCCCAGTGCAGGTCTCTCCCTTTGGCCAGCAAGGCTGCACAGATCCCACCTCTACAACATGCTGCTGTTGCTTCTCCCACATTCTGCACCAATTAACAGTGACACTTTTCTCCTCAGGTCTCATGTCAAAGCATCTGCAAAAAGCAGCAGTGAACATGATTGGAGACCAGGCCTGCAAGAAGTTCTACCCTATGCAGATCAGTAGCAGGATGGTGTGTGCTGGTTTCCCACAGGGCACTGTCGACAGTTGTTCAGTGAGTGCAAGTGCAGCAAACACTGCTGCTGGGACAGAGCAAACTTGTGCCAAGTCCCTGGGCTACATTGTCTCAGGAGGCCCTTGCCCTGCCTCCCCTAGCTCAGCTGTCTGTCCATCCATCTCCACTGGCTGACACCATTACCCAAGTCCATTCTGCTCACCCCACCAACCTGTGGCAGGCCAGGGAAACATGCAGGGAGGTAAAGCCAAGCAAGAGACCACAGGGATGCCATGGAGCCTGTTTCATAACCTGTTGTACCTCCAAACATGATCTTTCATGTTCCAGAGCCCCCACCTCACACTGTGCATGCAAGGACATCACTGAGTAGTCCTCCATCTCAGAAGCAGGCTCCTGGGGAGGTGGGGAACAGGACAGCAGGTGCTCCTATGTCCCAGAGAGAAAGAACATCTGACAGCTGGGAGGGCTGGGCTGCCTTTTGGGCTTGATACAGGAGGACCCTTTTCCTCTCTCCGCAGGGTGATGCAGGTGGGCCCCTGGCATGTAAAGAACCCTCAGGGAAGTGGTTTCTAGCAGGAATCACGAGCTGGGGCTATGGCTGTGCCAGGCCATACTTCCCTGGTGTCTACACCAAAGTCACAGCTGTCCAGGGCTGGATTGCTCAGAACCTCAAGCTCTGAAGCTGCATCTCAACACTCAGGGAAGGCAACGAATGAGAGGAGTCATTGCCAGAGAATGCACTAACCCCTCAGCTATTGTACGGTTTTTGGATGCCGCAAAAGGATGAAGATGGCCTGCAGGTATGAAGCAAATGCCAGTGTTGTGACCCACTGCAGCTGTGACACCAGGGCATTTGATAACTGCTTTGCATAGAAAGGTACAATCCTAGACATTTTCTATAAATAAACGAGGCCTGTCCCATCGTAAGACCTGGCCAAACATCCTACGCATTAAAATATGGCCTTTCTAGTTTGAGGGGTGCCTGAAACATCTGCTGGAGATCCATGTGAATTCTAGTGACCTCTGTCTCTGAGCTGTCATCCCCAAGCCAAGAGACAAGTGAGCTTTGCCCCAGGCCCCACTGCCTTGATGGAGCTGTGACCTTGTGCAGTAGCTTTTGGAAAGGGTGTGCTCCTCTCTCCACTGAACATTTGGTACAGTGATGATCCCCTGGTTCCTCATTTCATCACAAGAGAAGGTATGACTAAAATATTGGTACTTAAGGCTGCACAGACTCTCATCTGTGTAAGAGAATCAGGACAGGCTCCTCATGCTCCCCCATGCCCCAGCTCCCTTTGCATAAAGAAACAAATTATTAAATTGACAAAGGTCAAGGCACAGCCCCACAGATCAGTTCTGATTAAGGTGGGTGGGAAGAATTCAAAGTGCTGAGAGAGTGGCCCAAAGATTAAACTCCCTTCAGTGGGAAGTCAAGTCCCACCAGCCACCATAAGGCACACAGACCACCTCTGTTCACAAAAACTGATGCAGAGCTCATGTACCAGGTCTTGGGCAGGCTTAGACATCTCATAAATTTGACAACCAAAGCAGCTAGTAGCCCAATCCCCTTCCTAGTCTTTGGCATACAAGCTCTACATTTGGGAACTGCAAGAGCTGTCTTCCTTCCCAACCCAGCTGGCAGTGAGATCCCTCACTTTTCCAGCAAGGTGGGAGAGACCCAGCTTCCAGGAGTGGCTCAGCTGGAGATAGGTTCAGATCAGGCTGGAACACTTGTGGCACACTCCCCTCAGAACACAGGGGCCCCTGCACAGCCAGTGCCACAAAACTCACACAGCCATAAAGAAAGGTAACAAGGCCCTAAGCAAACGTGTCTAGAAAGCACTGTATTTTCAAGCAGTCATTCTGCCCACTCTGGATGGGAAGCTCCAGTTTCAATTAGTCCAAATGTCCAGCTATTTCCTAATAATTTACCTTATGTGAGACTTGTGTGACTTTAATCCCTTCACAGAAGCTCGACATTGGGAGATGAAATTAGGTTGTCCCACATCCCTTTGAATGTCCTAACAGCTGAGAAGACATCACCTTCCAGTCTGTTTCCCTGTTCCAGCAAACAAAAAATCTCACTACAGGGGCCTGGGCTCTTTTAATCTCCAAAACTCTCTTCTTCCATCTGCTGTGCACTCAACATGAACAGACCTTTCCAGAGATGGGTATAAACCAAGAACAATAGAGAGCTCAGCCCCAAGCCACACCCAAGTCCTGTGTTGCAGAAGTCCTCCTCCCTCAAAAATGATGCCTAGAAGGTAGGCTTCAAGATGGAACATCTATGCCAGGGTCAAACCAGAAGTTACAGAATATCACAGCCACACAATACATTTTATTCTATAAATAAAGTACTTCCCAACTCCTTTCATCCCTAGCTGTGCTTGTACAGCTATTTTCAAGGCTGTGCTGCAAACCTAAATAAGAGCACCCCTGCCCCTCAACATTCTGCTTCAACTGAGTCACACCCCACGAGCCCAAAAGTGAGCCCCACATACACCTACACAAATACAAGGGGAAAAAGAGCCAAGTGTGGCATGTGGAGCATCTTATGGCAGCTTTTCCACTGATGAAAAGGGACTGGGTGACTACCTGATGGCTGGGTCCATACTTGCTTCTTGGGCAAGGGGACTGTGTTGCTGGCTTGGCCTCCCTTTTCCTTGCCTCTCACAGCCTCTCACAGTAGGGATTTATCAACTGCTGTATGTAGTGGGCAGTCTGGACCAGTGGGAAGGGCATGAAGCAAACCAAGCAGCTCACGGTGGCTCTCAAGGCTGGAAAATTCACTTGCTCCTGGGTCTGGTGCTAATAAAAGGCCAATGGATGCAAAATGTTCAGTTGAGGGTTTATTGCTCTGCCATGGCAGGGGCTGGAAAGGCAGCAGGATTTTGCCTCCAACCACCTGGACTGGCCACTCGTCCCTTCCCCACATGGTCCCTCCCTGGTGCAGGAGCTGGGGCACTTCACATGTTGGCTCTCTCCCGCTGCAGCCGGGAGTTGTAGGCTCGGGAAACCGTGTTCCAGGAGTCCATGTACCGATCCATGCACATGGCGATGCACTTCTGCGGGACAGAGAGTCCTCAGGGGCTGCCCCGGGGCGGCCCGCGGGCCCCGCTGCTCCCGGGCCGCGCTCACCTGCTCCGAGTTGTCCAGCGCCCCGCCGGGCTTCCCGATGCACTTCCGAAAGCATTTGTCCGTCATGCGCTGCGGAGAGAGCGGGGAG